GTGCTCTAATACAGCCATGTTTATGCGCTATTGGGTGGTTGCTATGGTAGCTGAGCACCTGAGTTGTGTTAGTCGCCTTTCAATAAACCGTGGTGCTGAGTTCCCCGTTAGGTCTGCGCGTGACGAGGACATCCAGGAACGGTAGTTTTCTGGCGCTTTCTTCTTCCTTTGTGTATTGGATGTCGGGAAAGATGCCGTTAAGCAGGTTTTGGAAGTCTACTAACCTGCTCCGTTCGATTATGACGAAAGTATCGTCCACGTATCGACACCAGAATGCAGACTCAGATTGGTCAAAGGCGACTTTCTCCAGCTCCTGTAAGACCAGTTCTGCGATGAGACTGAAAATTGGGGATCCCATCGGTGTCCCTTTGGTCTGTTCGTTTGTTTGGCCATTAAACGGGAAAAAATTTATTTGGCAGAAGACGAAGACTTGCATGAGATGGTTAATTTTTAGAGGACCCCTCGATTCGTCGTATTTCTCTTCGAGTCATTTGCGTAGGACTTCGCGTGCCAGGTCCGGAGGGATGGATGTGAATAGTGAAACGACATCAAAATATACCATGGTTTGATCTGGTTGAACCGTCCTGCCCCGGATAGCGGCTAGAAATTGGGATGCCGAATTGGTCGAGGTATTCGAGCCCTCTCGAAAGAAGTTTAGTTTTCATGACATCCATTTGCATAGGTTGAAAGTACGGCTGCCTTTCAATTCCACGATTGGCCGGAGTGGAACGTTGGGTTGGTGGATTTTGGGCAATCCGTAAAACCGAGCCAGTGCTGTGTCGGTTAGTTTGGTTCGTCGCCATTCGTCTTGTGATATCACGTTGTTGCGTCGGAGTCGGTTCGGGAGACCAGTTAGCTGGCTGATCATAAATTTAGCCTGTGAGGGAGGCGTGGGTTGGTAGGATTGTTGGTCGTCGAGGAGGGCTTGTGACTTCGCGTTGTAATCACTGCGGTCCATCATGACCGTTGCTCTTCCCTTATCGGCCGGTAGCACGACTACATCGTTGTTCATTTTTAATCTCTTCATCGCATCTTCTTCCGCCGAGGACATGTTATTGGTGCACCTATTCGTAATTATTAGGGAGGTGACTTTCTGGCGCACTCTGTGCTTCGTCTCATCGGTTGCGTTGGTTCGCACTAGCATGGCTTATTCTCCGTTTATTCCGTACAGCATATACTCTTCCTACTACTCCGGCCTTCCCAAGACTTCTCTCCTCTCCTAAGGATCCGGGCCTGGAAGATCGCAGCCGTTAGGGTTAAACCTTAGTAGCCTTAATCCCCCTCGATGAGAAGATGATACAATATGTCCTGCTCATTTAGCATAGGTAATGTGTTTCTGTGTTTTGAACCTGGTCAGCATTGGCACTTAAAATCTCGATCCTGCAAGATTTCTTGTCAAGGATTCTGTTAAACTCTCGGACCTTATAGTGGTCTATTGTCAGCACGAATTAGAAAGCCACAACTTTGGATAATGTGTTGGAAGCGTCGGATAAATGTGACTATGGCCAGGAATGCGCGACAAAAGGTGCTGTATTCACGTTGTATTCTTGGGGAGAAATAGTTACCGAATCAAATGGAATTTTGCGTTCAATTTGAATCGGGCTGGGAGAAGAAGGCATCAATAGAAAATTCATACTCTGGATCTTCGCCAGAGTCCAAAGTCAATCAATTTGGATTCCAACATTCACATTGCCTTGCTTAACCCTGCGGATGCGTGTGCACGGGTGTTCGTGTTCCTTTTAGCAAAGTTCATTGGTAAACCTATAGGTGTTAAGGCTAAGACGGTTAACCCTAACACCTACAATCTTCCA